ATAATGGAGACTGTATCTTTTTCGAGAACGGGGAGGACGAGAGTGATGGTGAGAGAGTGTAGGATAAATAAGAGAACCCCCTGTTACAAATCCATGAGTCCTTTATTAAGAAATACTGCATCGTTCCGACAATCGCGAAATGGTAGTACGAATATAATCTTTAAGCTATGAGAGCTTCGACGCAGCCTCCTTCTCGAGTCATCGACTTTGCTCGGAGCGTTTTCCAGGGCAGTGTTCCGGAGTTTTGACATTGGATTACGAAACGGCGTAAAAGTCCCCCGTGTAAAACTTTAATTACATTTGAATATAAGCATGCCGCGAGGATGCCGGTATTTATTCGAGAATGCGGTACAACTAAGGGGACTTCTCTCGACCTTTCGATTCCTTTTTTTTTTTTTTTTTTTATTTACTCCGGCGCGGCCGTTTTTTACGTATTCGCACCTTATCGCCGAAGATAAGACGATCGTTGCAGCTCTCGCATCGTTCGCGAGCGCGAAACGTGAGGATCATCCCGCTGGATGAAATGTTACGTCGATCGATGGTTTACACTTGAGAGCGCTCGCGAAACTCGCGAACGATGACGAAAGGAATAATTTCGATGCAATCTCTATCTTCCTGTGTTTCTCTTTTCTTTCTGCAACGGCAGCCGCACCGAAGAAACGCAGCAAATTACTTTCATGCGAATAATTTGCAACTTAAGTCTATAAATATTTGGATAATTGTTCAGATATGATAAGAAAGACCACCTTGATTACATTGATATATTGCTGATAATTCTTGGTATTTCCTTGTCCAGAATATGTAGATATGCAGATGTGCAGTCTATGTAAACATATAGGTAAAAGATATGATTTAAAAAATTCAAAAATTGATGAACTTTATATCAATATTAATTTTTTGCATATGCCAAATTTTATTATATACTCATCTAATGATTACATAAGAATGTAAAATTAACGAAAATTTTTGTTAATAATTTATAAACTATAACATGTAAAATTACATCAAAATATGCATAGAAATAAAAAGAATAAGAAAAATTTTAATAATTTACATTAACCATTAAATTGGAAGAAAATCAGAAATTGATCATTATCATAATTTTTACCGCATCTAATTAATAAATTCTGTAAGGAAGAATTATTATCAATTTATCGACTTAACCAAGCAAATCCAATTTTACTCTCATATCATTCAGATATTTCGGATAAATACGATTACGAGATTTCCAATTCAAAATATTTGGATATTTGAAAAGTATATAATTAGGAATTTTATACTATTTTGTTAATATCAAATTTTTCAATAATTCCAAAATTTTTTATTT